TTTTTTTTTTTTTTTTTTTTTTCTTTTTCCCAACTTGCTTTAGGATTAGCCTCCATCCCTCTCGACCCCAAACAGTGGAATTTGGCTGTGCCTAGGGTCGTCTTGCTCTGCAATATCGCCTATAGTTGTTGGCGGTTTTCTGCTGAGGCTGAGCCGTTTTCTCCAGCCTCTGCCTAAACTCATTAAGTTGGGAGATTTTTTTCAATTGGACGGGTGTTTTTAAAGTCTCGTCTTTCCAGCCCCAAACAAGGTGTAACAACGCACTCTTCCTTCTAAGGAATGAGATGAGAGACAAGGATCACTCCAGACATCTCCTACCTACGGTTCGGGTTTTTTTTTCTTAAAGGCGAGGCTTGCATTCCTCAGCAGCTATGTACAAAGCTCCCTGAAACCTTGTCTCTCTAAAGTTAGTGTGCAGGGTTTTCCAAGGCTGAGCGCGCCTAATACATGGGGAAGCACTTCCTTGAGGTGGAAGATCTCTCCCTTCACCCTTCCTCTTTTTCCCTGCAGGCTAGTGCCTACTTTTTATCAGTTTGCACAATCGCTTAGATAAACACCGAGGAGGAGATTCTCTTTAATTATCAAAGGCACATCTTTTCAGGGGGCCAACAAAGCGTTTATTTCACCCGCCAAACTAAAGGAGAGTTATTCCAGTTTAGAAGGAAGATGCAAGCGGTTTGGGACCTTGAACAAGGCAAATATGGTTTTGGTATGTTTGCTTACAGTATTTTTTTTTCTCTCTCTCTCCTTTCTCACTTTTCTCCTTGTGCTGTGTGGGGCTGGGGATGACTTGGGGCTTTTCAAAAAATCGGTTTGCTAACATGTATGAAATGCCTAGGACTGTGGTTTAAGGGGTTCGGGGAAAGGGACAGAAACAATTCAATGCATTGCCATATTTTATTACGTGTGTGTGGTAGGAGAGGTGATGGAGGGGGAGAGGGGGAAAATACAATTGCAAAGCTGCCAAAAAAAAAAAAAAATGATTAAACCGAAGCATAAAGACTGCGGTGCCTCCCATCTCTTCGTCCTGTCTCCTTAAACTCATTTCCTTCTATAGAGCAAACTATAAACCAGTCCTATACGCGTGGTCTTCCTAGCAGCAGACGACTCGGTTTTCTAGCAAAGGAGCTGCTAGGCTCGCATTAAGTACCAGAATTTACTGTTCGATTTGCCTCTGCGCTTTATTTTGCAACCTTGTGCAACTGACAGCCAGGCAGGCAGGGAGGGAGAAAAGCCTTGCCCGGCACCCGCGGCCGCGGTTCGGGGAGGCGAGCGCTCGGTTAAGCAAGCAGGAGAACGCAACGAGAAGGGTACTCACCATCGGGCGGGGTGGTGGAGCTGGCGTGCGGATTTCAGGCAAACGTTTACCTTTTTGCTGTCTATTGCAACCGCGCCGGGCTGACTTAAGAAGCAATTCTGTGCTCTATCCAGAACGTTCAAGGAACGGTTCCTCATTTTAAAAAAGCCAGCGAGAGGGACGACAGAGACAGAGAGAAAGAAAAAGAGAGGAGGGGGTGAGGGGGGACGCACATAAACCCAGTTCAAAAAAAAAAAAAAAAATCATCACCTCTTCGCCAGCGACTCGGGAAACGCAGAGGTGGCAAGATCCAAGTACGATACAACCAAGCCAGAGCCAATTAATTTTAAATCCTGAAGAATTATTCAGATTAAAATGTACAGAAGTTTCATTCTTCTATGCCTACGTGAGCCCAAAGTCGTTTCCCTTTAAGAGCTCCTTTTCTTTTAAAGTTGAATTTTAGGCAGCGAGGACTCTTACACTAGGGGGCAGACAGATACTGTACTTGCTCCAATCTTAAGCAATTTTTTCCCTCCCAGCATATGCTCTGATTTAGCACTGTAAATTTTTCAGAGGACCCAACTCTGACAGCCCCTGGTGATTTTCAAAGTACCACAAGCCAGTGGTTAAAAATTGCATTGACTTGGAAGTTCAGAGGGACACAATGGAAGCCCCTTTCCCTATTCATGGAGCTCCAGTGTGGTGGAAGAGAAAAACACACACCGACTAGATTGAGGGAAAGGAGGAATTCAATGAATCCTGGTGTACGGAACTGGTTTCTACTGAGTTCAGAGTTAAACTCAGCATTGGTGGTGTCTGTATTCATATTGTGATTTAATCTGTAAATAATTACAGTCCATCCAGCCACTTTGTGAAAAAAAAATACACACACACACACACACACACACACATATATTCCTTTTCTTTCTTTTTTCAGATTTGGGCAAATGTTTTTCTAACTTTCTCCAGTGAAATTAAAGCTTGTCCTTCCTCTCATTAAAATAAATTTGCATCTGCAATAAGAGACAGGGCTGGATTTTTTAAAAAATAATATATTGCTATTTATCTTTTAGTTTTAGAGCTTTTTAACCTTAGAGTTAAAGCAAATGAGCATCTCTGAAGAAGACATTTAAAATATTTTTACCTGTTTTTTTCTAAGTCTGCAGTCCTGTCTCTACTTCTATGCAATAGAATTAACTACAAATCATATAGTGATTTCCCCCCCTTTTTAACAACATTTTCATAACTGAATGAGTTCTAAAATACAGAGTCGAACACCTCTGACTTCATGGCAACCCTGTAGCCGTGTGCCTAGCAGTCTCCAATTCTGTAGGAGGTGGTTGGGAAATTCTTCATTTTCAGGCTAAGGCCATGAGAGCATTCTTCAAATTTCAAAAATCTCTAAGTGGACTGGGGAAGATCTTCCTCCTCGAAATTGTCCCCTCAAGTATTTATAAAAGGCGATCTTGCTATGGAAGTCTCCACACTCAAGAAGTGAGATTAAGATTTCCCTATAATCAATTATTCTCATTTTCTATTAAATTGAGATGGTAATGCCCATTAGGTTTCCTATCTCAACCCCAACCCATCACATCTCTGCTGAGCTACCACTAATATACTGACATTCGTAACATTAGGCAATTCCTTGAATCATAGAGGTTCAGAGAGAGAGAGAATGACCAAAGCCTTCTCCTCTGAAATGATTTCTTTCCCATCCTTCTTGTCCTCTTTATGAGAAAGTTATAGTCTTTCTAATCAACCTGAAATTCTCAGCCTGGTTTCACTCTGTGGCAATCTTATTACACACCAGGTTTATGAAAGTTGTGTCCACTCTAGGTTTGTTTGAGTCTTTATTTATTTATTTATTTATTTATTTACAACTTTCAAATAATCCCAGCACCTGCAGCTTTAGTAAAATATGTGATTTCAGTGGAGATAGAGTGAGAGCTAAGGCGGTCTCAGGAGTGAAGCTTAAATTGGATTTTTCCTTCCCTAAAAAACAGCCCTTATAACCCGCATCTTCACTTAGTCCCTACCTCATATTCTGCCTACGTGTAAAAGGAATTGAATGCAAAGTGCAATCTACATATTTCAATTATATGTATGGTTTTTTTTAAAAGTACCTTTATCTCATCAATTTTTTGAGCCATCAAGAATGCTTTTCTGCAGTCCTCATTTTACTATTTATATGTGTTTAAGTTTTCCTAGAGCTCAGCGTCTTTTGTGTAAAATATTCTAATTGTTCATAAATGTGGTTGGTTTACCGATTTACAGTTTTTCTTAGTGCAAAGTGTGTATGATGAAGATACAATTTTCTTGTATAAATAATCATAACCCACTAACTGGTCAAAATAAAAGAGCAAGGTTACTACATTGAAATATAGTGTGTTCCAGGGTCAATTCTACATACTTGATGTTTAAAACCGAACACCCCTGAATTCAAAGACACTACTGTATCAATGATGTTAGCATATTGAGCAGAATGGCATAGGCATGAAGTTGCTCTTTTTGCAGTGACTTTCTTGAGGTGGAATATGGTTTGTGTGTAGCTTGTGACTTGTGCTAGTGCTATTTCCAATTTGGGGCAGAATCTCTGGGTGTGTTGTAATGACTATATGAATGCTTAAAAGGAACTTGAAGAACAATGAAGTCCGTACTCAACTATTCTATGACTTAGAAGCATAGTTGCTGAAGTCTTTGTCTGTGTACATTGACAAATGTGCATCTGATACATGTGCGCTGCTTACATGTGTGTACAGAGGGTGTGCACAGGGGAGGCTGGGCGGCTGCGTCCGCCTGTCCATCAGCGGGTAAAACGGTCTTTTCCGTCTCACCTCGACTGGGCGTGTGGCAGGACGCTTCTTGAGAGTTAGCTAAAACCACCGAAAGAGGAAAAACTTGAGGAAAATGGATTTTAATTCCATCTTGACAATGAGATGAAGTCTACTTCTGCTTCTCAGCACCCGAGATGCTTTATTTTAGCAATTAAAATGTCAGGCCACATACCTGTGAAATGTTAACCCTAAAAGGAAAAGACAGACACTGAACGACTTTTTTTCCCCTAAAAAAGAAAGAAAGAACCACCAAACTGAGTAAGTGATCAGAGTTGTTTAGGGAGAAGGGTTTACCATCACCTGGATTTAGCTAAATCTTTCGTTTGAAAAATGCCTGCAAGCTCAGTTCGCGGCACTTTCCCATCCCCACCCCCTACCCCTCTGCAAAGAAACCAGGGAACTTTTCGCTTTCTTTGGCATCGTGGGCACCAAGATGCTCCGGGAGTCCCGGGTGGTGCGCGAGCGGCATATTTCGTGGCATCGCCAAGTTGCGAGAGGCGAAGTCCTCGATTCCATCCAATGCCTCTTGCGGAGCCTTTAAGAGGCGCTGAGTGTGCGCGCCGCGCTCGTCTCCCCGCCGGGGCGGAAACCTCGGGTGCGGGGTGCGGGCAGAGCGGGGGCCGCGCTCCCGGAGCCGGCGCGGACCCTTCCCCCGCCCGGCGGCC